CCCCAAAACCCCAAAACCCCAAAACCCCAAAACCCCTGGAGTGAATAGAGGTGTTGAAAATGTACCTAAAATCGTCCAGTCTTCTTCTTGACAATATCCTTCTTTTTCTTAGTGGCTCTCTCGATCCGAGCAACTACTCGGGAGGGGTCACCTTTGCCAGAATTGTAGTCCTCCATGATACAAAGCTGGTTCTGGATGCTCTCGTCAATATCTCCTTTCATGTAGTCGTACATTATGCTAAGAGAGTTCGTAGTAGCAAAATCTAGGCTTTCCATCAGTGATAAAGTTTTCTTGAATTCCTGGTCTTGAATTTTGTGCTTAAACCGCTCGAATAACAACTCCCTCATGTCCTCACGACCTTTGAGAGTAGCATCATCACATGCCTTGGAGATAGAGTAAAATTTATGTCGAAGTTTCTGTGTCTTATACCTCCTAGATTGGAAATAAGAAGCAAGTCTTTTCTTAGAGCTACTTCCTAGTATTCTCTACATGTTAGTCTCAAAGAGTCTACCGTTCGAATCCTGGTGTGCCTTGTTAGAGTTTAAGGTGTGAATAGCCTTAGAGCTGCTGCCCATCTTTGGCTCACGGATAGTCACCAACGCGCCTCTTCTTGGTAACCCATTGCTGTTTTGGTTCACATTCAATGTCTTGACACCTTCTCGTTTCATATTTAAAAATGAGGTAGAAACTGTTGATTTCATTGCTGACTTTCTTGGGCTCTCTGCGAAGGTTTTCCTATACTAATCCCTAACTAAAACCTACATAAATCTGCGCTTTTTAGATTTCCTTGGTGCTTGCTTGGTGTTCACCCGAACTTTTTGCTTGGAAGATATCAAAGTCCCGCTCTTAAGAGCTGGTGGGAGCTCGCTCTTTAGTAGGGAATCCTTACTATCTGCTAACTTCTTGGCTTCCTCTTTGGCAACTAGGGATTACCTCAAATTTACTCTTTGATGGACTTTTCTGAAAATTCAAGTTCCTCGACTCGGGAGATGAATTTTTCCTCCTTAACGACACCATTGTTGAAGCCTGATTTTGGTCCACCTTGATTGAACAAGGGATTTTAAAGTTTGACTTCCCCATGAACAGCTCTTTAGGTAAGCCATGCTCTTTTTGCTCAAAAATACTCGAGTCTCTGTTACTAAATAAGTTATAAAAAGTACGGAGATATTTGATTTGATTTATATTTCCTCTATAACATAACCAGCTGGTCGACCTACATCGAAGCTGCTGCTCATGGTCAGGCTCATTTCTTTCTTATCAAACTTCTGTCACTTAGATCGATATCGGTTCCTGGTCATATTACGGCGGATCTCCTCAGCAGCCTGGAATAGCTTCTTCTTAGCCAGTAGAGCTTTCTTGTCGAATAACTTCCGCTGCCTAGATTATGAAACCTGAATGTTACTTATAATTGTAGTAAATCGAGTAGTCCATTTTAATGTCCTTCAAGAAAATAGGCTTCTTATGCTTTATCTTATCAATAATATTCTTCTCATAAGGGTCGATTTTGTCTAAACGGTAAGACGAAGAGTACTGAAATTCTCTGGATGTACCACAACCGGCTTCTGCCTCCTACGTGTAAGCTTGGAGTTATTTCTCCTGCTCTTCGGTGTCCAGCTTACGATGAAACAGCTGGTAGCTGATTTCAGCATCTTCTATCTGTTGGATCAAGCTGTTCTTTTCATTTGCATCAAAGGAGAGGTTACGAAGGTACTTGGTCGCCTTTTCTAGCTTCTCATAGGATTTATCCCTAGAGGTATCAAAGATGGAATCCATTATGAACCCCCTGTTGTCTCAGTCATCTCCATAATCTTGAAAATGTTTGTTTCGGTCAATGAAGCTATCCATGTCATCCATTTTAAAGTTTTGAAATTATTTCAATATTGTTTTCCAGAATTGGGGTTTTGGGGTTTTGGGGTTTTGGGGTTTTGGGGTTTTGGGGTTTTGGGG